GCTGAGTCATACATGATCACATAGACTGGATCATACCTACCCACATGGGTGGGTCATACGTTGCGTTGGCTTGTACTAGGTCACATATGTTGAGTCATCCTTAGTTACATGAGCTAGGTTGTACTTGGCCACATGAACTAGGTTATACATGACCACATGAGATCCGGTCTGACAGATCAACTTGACTAAAGTTAGATCATAATTCGACTCATCTCATCAAATTAGATTTTAATATTTAAAATTATTAAAGAATGACTCAAATCCATTAATAAAAATTTTAAATTCATGATCTTAAATTTAAAACTAATTATATTATATAAATGCACATATAATTCTTGATATATATACATCTAATTAAATAAATTAGAACTATTATGCTAATCCAAAAATAAAAAAATTTAATAATTAAATTAATATTAAAATTCACTTAAACTTAAGATATCAACATAAATTAAAGAGTCATTCTAACATCGTAAAATAATTATCATTATTTATTAATCATGAAATTTTAAAACTAAAACATCATTATGCATCATAAAATTTTAACAATCTCAACATTAATATTTCAAAATATAAATCAAAGTTAGTTAAAAAATAAAGGATCCTACCTCTACTCGACTATCCTTTCCTCAATATCATCTCCTCAGGAAGTCCTATTCACAATCCTCCCATTATTAGGTTTAATGAGGAATGAGGGAGGAGTAGCCTCCTTTATATAGGAGAAGATGAGATCTCCCCGAAAGGTAAGTAATAATTTAATTTTTATTTTTAATTTATTTTTCTTTTATTTTTCCACAAATAATATAATATTTATTTCTTATAGTTCACACATAAAAATGGAATATAAACTATTTACCTCATAAATATCAAATCACTTATTAGGAAATAAATTAATTAATAATTTAATTGATTAGTAGAATTTCTAACTTATTCACGTGATTAAGAAAACTAAATTTAATTATTTTCTTAACTATAGTATATAAATATATAAGTTAATAATAAGGTAATACATTATTTATAAGTAATTAATTTATGTTAAGAGAGAAATTTTCGATGATTATAAAAGGCCTCTAGATGATGAAGCCGATTGCACCAAGCATTGCCCACCTTTGCATGGATGAGCTCATAGACTTTGTATATATACATAGTTTAAAATTGTAAGGCATGACAAAAAAAAAAAAAAGGAATCGAACACCACAGATTTTGTAAAAACATAAGCGGAGGAATCAAACACAATTATGTTTATTTATTTAGTGTACATACTTAACGAAATCTTACGGGATTTTGATCATACACCTCTTTGAGTCTTTATGATTTGTTCGTCAAAACATCCCATAGGGAGTAATTAAGGATCGGACTCTCCCACAAGTGGAGAAGGCTAGGCACTAGCTTAAAGAGGTCAGGGGGTGGTGTTGCTAAGGGTGTAATAGGAGCGTAAAGCCACTTATACCTAGCCCCCGAATGTCAAAGCTTGAGGGGCGCTTTTGATGAGGTAAGTATGAGGCTAGCCTTTGTCCCTTGGGAGAGGGAGAAGGGGTTCTCCTTGTCTTAAGCATTCATTGGGAAGAGTAATAGAAGGGTGTGCTTGTGAAATTTGACCCTCCTTCTAATACTAAAATGATGGTTTATTGATATCGTTGATTGATGAGTCAGCACGGTTGGTTTACTTCCAAATGCATAAGTTTATCCGGATGCCTCTTTCTAGCTGACATGGGAGACTTAATGAGCGACCTAGTCGGAAGTGCTCTTGTCGATGAGAACCTAGTTCGGGATGACCAGATGAATGGTTCGGGATCTTCTTAGTTGCAAGGTTACTTCTCTGGGCCGGGTCATCTAAGTGTCCTCGAGAGATGATTTATCTTGTGGTTGTGTGTCTATGTCTTAACGATGAAGTTACTCGCTCTTCGTCGATGATCTAGCATGACATGTCAACGTCGAGATTGCTCGACACAAACCCTTCTATGCTTAAGTCAATGAAAGAGTGAGTAGTCGTGTAAATTGTATGATTATATTAGTGTACAGAGAGTTCTCCCTCGAGCATAACCTGATAGTTTTTTTTTATACCTAATTCCGAGACCTTTCTTGTTGATCAGTTATAATTGATCTCGGTAAGGTGATGATTATTGAAATGCACTTTCTGCTATTTTGGGTAGGTGATATGAAGTCTTACTTAGATGAGCTGACATCCGACAAAATGACCCATATCAAATCGATTCCCATCCAATTCTCTCATCTCTACCCTCCGTCTCTTCGATCCTCAATCTCAACCATCGATTGAGATTGATCAGACTCGCGGTGTGCTAACTGATACCAGATATTATTACTATAATAATAATAATAATAATAATAATAATAAACCAATACCTGATATTATTACTATAATAATAATAAGTGGCGTGTCTTCAATCAAAGACCGTGTGGTGGTTGACGATGACATTTGCAATGACGTCAGAAGGAATATGATTACGTGGGGCGGCTATTCCAATTGCGCGTACGTGAAAGCCTCTGCAAGAAGAGAATACGTAGGCAGATACGATACGCACACAAACTTTTCAGGGAGATGCGATCTGCACATCACTACCAACAATTATTTGATTCTGAAGCCAAGCTTTGTAGCCTCCACGCTTGAAGCGACGGCAAGGGAATCATCCAGGAGAGGAGAGGAGAGGAGAGGGGGTTGAACTTTGACCACTTGAAAGCGTGGAACCTGCTTTGTTAGACCAGAAACATTGCACTGTAGAGACGGAGAGCGCAACAAGTGCACGTTCTTGTTTGCTCTGTCAACCTCAGGCCTCCTTCCCTGCATCTACACATACCCAGCAGCCACCGCATCCTCTGAGCACCAAGGCAGATAGTTAGAGCAAAAGCAAGGGGAAAGGGAGAAGAAGAGGAAAGAGAAAGAGCATCCACTTCTTGTGTGCGCTAGTAAGAATGGCAGCCATCCCTCTGCTTGGTTCCTACAAGATGGGCAAGTTTGATCTCTCTCACAGGTCAGAACTGCTTCTTTTTCTTCTTCTTTGCTTGGATTGTTGACACGTGTGTGGGTGTTGAGCTTAATTCTTTGCTCGAATTGTTTGACTACGGCAATTTGTCAATGCTCGTTGAGATTATAATTCCTCTGTTCTTGTTGTTGTATTCACCAAAGAAGTATTTTGGTCTTCTGCTGCAACAGGATTGTTTTGGCACCGTTGACAAGAAGCAGATCATACGGTAACGTTCCTCAGCCACATGCTGCCGTGTACTACTCTCAGAGAGCCACCGATGGAGGCCTTCTCATCACGGAAGCGACAGGAGTCTCAGACACTGCTCAGGGGTATGATTCGTAGCAGCCAAAGTAAAAAATGCTATCATTTGATTACAGTTCGGTGGTAAAACTTGTTCTTCATGCATAGATATCCCGATACTCCTGGAGTGTGGACAAGAGAGCAAGTGGAGGCGTGGAAGCCCATCGTAGACGCCGTTCATGCCAAGGGCGGAGTCTTCTTCTGCCAGCTTTGGCATGTTGGCAGAGTCTCCAACACCGGTATTGCTTGGTCCTATCCTTCCTGTTCTAAATTAGAAGCTTGACATTTATGATCCCTTATACGAATGTGTGTGCAGGTTACCAGCCTAATGGACAAGATCCAATCTCGAGCACCGACAAGCAGGTGCCAACGCAAGTGCTTCACGATGGCTCGATTGAAGAGTACTCTCGTCCTCGAAGACTAAGAACAGAAGAGATCCCTCGAATCGTCGAGGATTTTAGACTGGCGGCCAGGAACGCCATCGAAGCTGGTGAGATGCTTTCGCTACTACAAGTTCCTCTTTTTCTCATGCATTCTCTTAACGGGTCCGAATCGTGCAGGCTTCGATGGAGTGGAGATCCACGGCGCAAATGGCTACCTGATCGAGCAGTTCATGAAAGATAGCGCCAACGATCGAACCGATGAGTATGGCGGGAGCTTGGAGAACCGATGTCGCTTTGCGTTGGAGGTGGTCGAAGCGGTCGTCGGTGAGATCGGAGCTGACAGAGTTGGGATGCGGCTGTCACCGTTCTTGGACTACATGGACTGCTGGGATTCAGACCCCGAGGCACTTGCCCTCTACATGGTGCAAGCACTGAACAAGCACGGCATCCTCTACTGCCACATGATAGAGCCCAGGATGGCCGTCGTCAATGGCAGGTATCACATCCCTCACCGGCTTCTTCCCATGAGGAAGGCGTTCAAGGGAACCTTCATCGTCGCAGGAGGCTACGATCGCGACGAAGGTAACAAGGTTGTGGATGAGGGATACACAGATCTGGTGGCTTTTGGCCGACTGTTCTTGGCGAATCCTGACTTGCCCAAGAGATTTGAGCTGAATGCTGCAGTGAACAAGTATGACAGGACCACCTTCTACACCTCTGATCCAGTTGTTGGGTACACAGACTACCCATTCATGGAGAACTCTGTATGAATGATCAAATGATACATCTGTTCCACTCTACTCTTTTTGTATGCTCAATAAAATTTCATTACAGTGCGTTAATCGGATACAGAAAATGATCAAACACAAGAATTCAAAGCAAAATCATCATCACTACACTTGTTTCTTCCAAAATAATTCAATGTAATTCCAACTAGGAGAAGAGCACCATCTGCAAAACACATCAACAGGTCACCAAGTTAGTCAGCGGCACGAACCAACAGTCATTTAGATCTTATTTATGCTTTGGATTAAGAGGATCATCCAGTCAAGAGACACATGAGCAAAATATTTCATGCATTTTGGCACAAATATCTATTGCCTAGAAAGTTGATCTTGTAATTGCACTGTGCATAAATTCCAACAAAAAAGACATTTCCACCCGTCAATGCAGGATATGAGGATGATCGATGTACATAGTCATACCTCTAATATAGAGAGCTGTTTCCCAAGCTCGAAATCTTCCGGATCATAACGAAGCAACCTAACTATATATATATAAATTCTAATACTTGAGGAAATCCATAGATAACTCTAAGGAGGAATCGGTCCATAGTCTTTAGAAAAAATGGCCTGAGCAGACACTATAGATGAACATATCACATAGTAGATGACAGAAGGTGCAGTTCAAAAGTGAAGTTGCTTGAGCTATGAAGATTGTCAGGTACAAAATAAGCATAATACTAATAATACCTTGAACCAGACAGCCTCAGGACCACAATTTGCACCAAACTTGTCGTCGTCGAAGGCCTCTAAGATGACGAAGCCAGCTGCACCGGCATTGCCCACCTTTGCATGGATGAGCTCATAGACTTTGTATCTGTACATTGTTTGAAATTGTAAGGCACAGTGGCGAAAAGGAATCAACACCAAAGATTTTGTAGGAATGTGAGTGGAGGAAGATGACTTGGTTTATCTGGAACACATACTTGGCGAAATCTTCTGGCTTCTTGCTCAACCCAAAAGGATCATAGCCAAAGCTGCAAGGAGGTCAGAGCATGAATGATCCTTCAGGTATTAGAAAATTGAATACAGCACCCACTCCGGTCAATATTCAACTTACTCAAAAGCATACGTTATGACACTGCTTTGGGTACCACACCACCGAGACAAAATAATAGCTCAATGTGGAGCTGACTGAGCTTGTTTCTGGTGACATATCGATGCTTAGTAAGAAAGAGGCAGCATCAAATCCTTAATTCTACTTAGGAGTATGTATGGTCGCCACAAAGAACAACTGAAAACAGGAATTGTCAGAAGCATCTTCTATTGTCAAAATTGTATCCGATAATTTAGATAGGTATAAATCTAAATGAGTTCGACAAATTTTATCATCCTCAAGATCCCTACAATGAATGTGATTATATACCGACGAACGGGGATGAGTAGAACATACCAGGCAACAAGTACAAGTCCATTGAGATATTTTAGAATCTCGTACCGTTCCAAGAGGCCTACCGGCAAGAAAATATTTTTATGCGATCGATCGCGATTTTTCGCATTAGTTGACAGTCCCGAGTGCGTAATTCTATCAAATAGGTTATGAACACCATTAATTAAGCAAAAGTATAAGCCCGAGATGTCGAGCAGTCAGTCTCACCATACTACTTCATGAGTTCCTCATGGGGGAGAAACAGCAGCTTGCTTTATCTGGGCGCGTCTTAGAGAAAAATGACGAATTAAAATCGCAAAGGCCGAGCGATCGGTGGTGATAGGCGTGCACGGAGGATCTCGGACGCTCCGAAGGAGACCAGTGCGGCCGCCGCGATGAGGCCACGGTGAGAGGCGTGCACCGAAGATCTCGGACGCTTCGAACGGGGCCAAGCGGCCGCCGCGATGGTGGAGGCCACGGCGGCTGTAGAGGAAGGTTACAGATGGCAGTGGCGATGGAGTAACAAAGCTAAGCTGTACTTCGCTCTTTATAAATAAGTGACAATCCACTCTATTTTTATAAAAATAAAATAAATAAAATGCTTTTTTAGCCCATTTAAAAACTTTCTTTTATAGTACATAAAATATTTTTTTTATTGTATTCCTTTTAATACAAAAAGACTCATGAATCTAATAATAACTTTTTTTTATTTATATATCAAAATATATGACTATTAAAAATTTATAATCAAATTTATTTATAGCTTTCATGGTGTTCATAATAATTTTAAATAATCTTAATCAAAGTTATAAAAGCCAAGTGTTATTTCCATCCTTGAAATTTCTTTTGAAAGACTTTGAAATTATCTGATGAACTCTCCGAATCATAATTCCTTGTGTATTCGTGCTCATAAATTATGACTCATCGAATAACATTCGATCGAAGAGATCTCAATCCCATGCTTCTTAAATTATATTCTTCATATTATAAGTTTATTCGACTCAACAAAATTTTTTTTCCAATTCAATAACTCATTTTTGTCTAAATTATAATTTACAAAATTTTTTATAGTTATTTGAGAAAAAAAAGGATAAGCTATATATCCTTTACCCTTTTTCTTAATTAAAAAAATATTATTTTTATTTGTCGTCCATAATAATTCCATCATTCTATGACTCTCGAAAGCGATAATCAAATTTCATAAACTATATATCATGTTCTAAGCTACATCATATAAACATAATGTATCAGAATTTTTTTATAATTTTCTGGTTTGGTCTAATCTGTAAAATAAAAATAGATTTTTGTTCAACTTTTGAGAACTTATTCACATTCCTCTCTCCACTGCTCAAGTTTGTGCCAACTCCTTTTTGCCACTGAGTTGAGTTGGGCAGGATTCCAAGAGTGTCAAAGAGAATAAAATAGATATGTTACTATGGATATGGATAACTTGCAGTTTGTACTTTCTCAACTTGTGATTATCAAAATTAACAATCTCAGAAATACTCAAAAAAGTTTTGAATGTTAATGCATAACAAAGATGTGATTCACAAACCAAGAAAATTATTGCTGATTGATGTCATGTGAAAGATGCAAAAACATTTTTCAGTGTACTCAACATGATCAAGGAGAGTATGCTAGAATTTATAAGGAACTGATAAGTATATTATCATTAATTTTGACTTAGATATTTTGAGCTTAGTATTAGTAGTAGGCAAAGGATTACTACAATCTTGTGTTGACTAACAATAATAAAATAAATAGATATCCATAAACATGAGATATATCCAAGTAGGCATATGCATTTAAATTTCCACTGTTTTATAGAAATGCTGGCATCATATAATTCAAGTATTCCAGGAAGAACCATTCTTGCATGAACATTATTATCATTGTGAAAAATCAACAAAGATGATCCCCAAAAATCCAGAACAAAGATGGCCTGTTACCAACAAAAAGCTTGACAACAATTTGGAAATGTTCTCCCCAATCTTCATGCTAGTGGAACAAACTGAATCCTGAAATCATGGGGAGAAGGATATGATTCATGTAAGAGGATGTCTCCAGAAAGCATAAGAGAATAGGATATCTGTTCAAGAACAACTTGAAGCCACTGCTTCCTTGCACCAAAGTTGGTGAGAAAGACAAGCTGTGTCAACAACAATTTTGGATCAAGCACAGAAAGTTATGGATCCATCAGTACATGTTGAAGCTCAAAAAAACTCAATCACTGCACAGCAGAGGATTCCAGCACAGGATAGGAACTCAAGGAATTGGTTTGATGATAGTAATCACCACCAAGAACCATGATTTCTTCCATGTGTGTGTCATAAACCCTAGTATTTGATTTAGTCACATTGAAGCTATGATCAAGTCAAACCTTCACAATGGGGCTCATCCAATCAATTGACTAGTTGTTAGCTTGCTGAAAGTAGTAGGAGGGGGGATGTATGTGAAACATATGATTCTATGTCCTATTTCTAACCATGATGTGTTCTCTGCCTTCAATTCCAGATAAGGATTATGATTCTTCCATACTTCACCTGTTTCAATAGCACTTTACACTGGCAACTCAAATTATTCTGTTTTACTCCTATGCAGTTGTTGTTCTTTGCATAAGAGAAAAGAACAAAGGAAAGTTTCAAGCACACATTTAATTCCTCTGGCTATCAAATGTTTGTGGTTTCTTAGGTACAAAGTTACATTCTAAATGAGAAGTTTGAACCTAATATTCTACATCTACACACAATATTTTCATGCTCAAGTAGTCTGATCTTGTTGTCAACCTATCATCAAAGCTTTTGGTGAAGCATATACAGAATGATTAGAAATATATTACATAACCATTTTATGCATTTACATCAGGAATGAACAGGAAAAAGACTCATTCAAGACATGAACACAAGATGACAATCCACAACTCATTCACAGGGGCATGCAATCTTGCTTACATCCGTGGGCATAAATGCCAAGATCATGAGCAAAACAAGTATGCCGATTGGGAGTAGGAGTACCGCAAGAGGTGGTGGCGGCAGTGGAGGCAGTATCACCGGAAGTATCAGCAATGAGGCAGTGAGGCAAAGAAGTAGCAGCAATGATTCTGCACTAAAATATTTGGAGGGGGAAGATGTATGGCTTTGTTCTCGTGGTGTGGTGGTGGAACCTCTATAGACGGTTCTTGAATCGGCTGCGAGATGATCCTTCCGAGTTCTTCCTTCCATCGAAGCACCTCGGTCAAGCTGTCTGCCAATCTGAACTTTTGGCGTTCATGGATGTTACCTCGTCCCAAAGTTTCTCTCAGGAAGGACAAATCATCGTCTTCAACTCCCACCAATGACGACGATTCTCAATGTGGAATCTTACCAAGTCAAATGAGTTCTTTCCAGATTAGGATCGGAAGCTGAATCCCTGAAACCGAGAGGACGAACTGCTAACTCGGTGGCTGAATCCCTGAACGAGGAACCGAGAGTCCAAGATGAGCTCAATCTAAGCAATAGTGTCCGAGCTCCCGTTGCAGAAATCGTTTCCTGATCACATTGGCCATAGGAGAATAGTCAGTTCCGTGAGACAGAAACTAATCAAGAAATTTAATCTCTAAGGAACACATATTGGATCGAGCAAATGTCCATCAAGCAGTGCATTCATACGGCTTCATAAACTCCAAGATCGAAACCTCCATCAATTCTTTGAAGATAGATTGATTTCCTCCCCCTCAAATAAAGAGAGCAGAGAGTCTTACCAGAAGGAAACATGAAGGAGAAAGTCTGAGTGGAGACCATGCTTGAACCTCAAAGCCAACATGACAACAAGGTTTGATCTCCTCAGGCAAAAGAAGAACTCGAGTGCATGTGTTTGTCCGTGCTCCTCATGCTTTGCTGCTCACATGCATGTGTGTAGGGGAGAAGGATGAGAAGAGAGAGAGAGAGAGAGGAAAAGGCAACACCAGATGTGCTTATGGTGCTTTGCTTTCAAAGAGAGAAACCTGTGTAGGGTTCTGTGGGTGGATGCATTGCATCCCATTTTATGGTCGACCCCTCCCTCCAGACCTCCAACATCCAGGAAAGTTGGAGTGGAACATTCCACACCCCTCCTCGTGTCACGACATAGCCGACGAGAGTGTGAGGATCTCCATCTGTAGCAGCCAAAGGAAGGAAGCCTGTGACACAAAAATGGTGTGCCATGCACGGGAAGCAACATTAGATGATGCCAAAGATAAACTAATAATTCATGATATAGTTTGTGTAGTAGTCGAAGCCCTTAGAACATCCTTTCTTCCTTTAATATGAGGTTGGTGTTGTGGCTACTTATGCACTGCTACAGTCTCCACCATGCCATCATAATATGTAATCATGACATGATCCTATTTTATGTTGCATGCCAAATTTAGGGGACATGAGTGGTGTTGGATTTCTTTTCCTGTTGGGATCGTAAACAAAAACTATATCAGGATTTGTGAATCCCAAACACATAATTTTCTGATGATATTTATTTAGATTTGTTGGGGATGGAAAGTCGTAGAAGCTTCATCGTCAGAAATGAATGGTAATAATATCTTTACAAACTCTTAACACCCATGAACAAGAAAGTAGAGAGAGAGAGAGAGAGAGAGAGAGAGAGAGAGAGGGTGCAGAGGTAGGAGATGGCTTCTGGGAAGGGCCAAAGGGGGGTGGGGTGTGATAGATGTTGAAGGTTCCCTTCACCTGGCCACCATCTATTCCCTGTCTCTTTCTATTCTGTTCCCACCACCTCTTTCCCCTTCAATGCTTCTTTGTCATACAATGCTTGCTTGCTTGCTCCCAACACTACAACCTCTTCCCTCAGCTCCAATCATATACACATTGCATGACATATATAGTTTTATAAAGATAAACTAATAGCATTTCCTGTTTCAATCAAAAAAATATAAATTAGTATATTAAAGCTCTTGTTAATGTGGGATATCATCAATATCTACAAAGTCTACGAGGCAAACGTGCCTATCGTACCATAGTGTAACATGTTTTATCTTTAAAAAATCTTGCTAGTGAGTTTCGATTCGTGAAAGAGATATTTTATCTATCCATCTTATGATGTTGAATATTATTATCTTATTTTTTAATTTTTTTTAATAATAACTAACTAAAAATTTCTAGAATTATATTGAAACTATGTATCTTCTTATATATATATATATATATATATATATATATATATATATATATATATAAACATGAGTTAATGTTCTATATAAAATGCTCTTTTTTTTGTTTTTTGCTCTAAACTCTCTTGTTATTATTTTTTGTTTGTTTCATTATGTACAGCAATAAGCACTCATCCTCCTACCTATGTTCTTTTACTTATTGATGGTATGGTTAGTATATTATTGGATCGGTGACTCTTCTCTCCTCCATAAACAGTTGTCAATCTCAATTATAAATAAGAAATGACTGCATCGATCTCTCATTTATGACCTCATCACATCATGTAACGCATTTCTCATGATATTATGTACCAATTTTCAAGCGACAAATGGCATTGGTTATCCAACAAGGGGAGGGGAAGAGCAAATCATGGACATCTTTGCGCCACATATTCCACAAGGTGGCAAACAACACTAGTGCGTGCTGGATGTGGCCTCTGAGAAGGACAAGATGAATCTGGTCCGGAACATGAACGCAGCTCTCACTCTCATTACAAATATTTTAATTCGTAAAGATGTGCACAAAAAGTCACATTTTGTCATCCATCCATCCACTAAAAAGAACCCTCTCGATTCGACAACCTTACGACCATCACGTTTCGTTGCATTGTTTCTTTAGAGATTAACATTCCTTTTAGAAAGAAGAATAACAACGAGTTAACATAATGTTCTAGCAAGTCATTAAGAGTAGATATTTGCTTGCTTAGAGTTTATGATAATATTATGACTATCCACATGAGAGAAATTTTGAAATGATAAACAATGCCTCGTGCAATAAAAATGGAGGCGGAAGATATGTGCAAGTGTGTGATTCATACATTTTTACATTTAAAAGAGACGAGCAAACCTTGCTGTTTATAAATGTTGTAATGACATCTTAGAAATTAATCTTTAAGACATCAATTTTGTATATGGCTACCATATACAATGGTCTGTATATAAACATACAGAAGCCATAGGTTTGGGAAGTCAGTCAACAAATCTCATTAAGCATTCCGTAATGCAAAACTAGATTTCCTTGTTGAAAGTCCAACAAACAAACAAACAAATAATGATAATAATAAAACTTGCAAATGAATGCGGAATAGTGTGTCTGCAACAGTAGAATAAATCCATTTCTCCTCAAACAAAGATATGCGACCACCAGAAATAAATGTTATGATTGCAGATGAATGAATGCAGTATAAAAAGGAGATCAAGTTTATCCCTGGAATGGATTACTTTCTTCCATCTCAAAGTCGAGCCTCAAAATTGTTTTTCTTATCTATTTCTTTCCTTTCCATGTATCCATCCAGCTCATATTCGTTGGTGTCGATCTAATTACAAAATTTGGCATGTTTCAACTTGCACTCCCACCTGGGAAAACCTAACCATGTGAGGATTAAAAAAAAAACTTCTCATTCTTTTGCGGGAAAATCTTTTCTAAACTATCTGAGTTGACGACCCATATGAAAGGGGTTTAAAGAAGTATATTGGTGATGCTGCAGGATGACTTATTCTTGAGCTCTCCATCGCAACAAGCTGATATGAGAGAGTCGATTTTAGGAGGATAGACGAAGTGCCATTTGCTGGAGGAGCACTCTCTTCTGGGCAGCATTGATGAGGCCACTGCACTCGGCATTTACAAGGACCTCTGTCATGATCGCTGCAGCATGTCCAGTAGGCTCCTCAGATGCCCTCCTCAACATGAACGCCTGTAATAGTGATTTATTGCTCCCTTAGGAAAATTAATCAGTGCATACGATAGATCGACTATAACTAAATGCCCCTTCCCCAGAATTGTCTACAAGTGTTATAACAGTAATCGTTTATAAATATAAAAGAAATATTGACTTCATAAAGATGAAAAACACCTTTGTATGAACAAGCATAATAGTTCTGCATATAGCAGAATCACTGCATTATCTAATATTTGCTGCTTCAAAATACCAGCTTGGTAAATACAAGTACTTCAACAGCTGCACCTTCTGGTCAGAATATAACGAGTTTGGTAAATGGTAATGCCTGAGGGTTGTGTAAGATAGAAAATTTCTCCTATTCACCACAGAATGGCATATTAACAGTAGAATGCACGTACTATGGAAATCCAAAGGAGTTACTAACATTGTGTATCCACATATTTAAAGACTTGCTCATGCAATCCATAATAGAGATATTCTTCTATGTTTACCGTAGAAAGCATTAGCAGCAAGCAGCAGGTGCACATATAAGAAAAAAGAAAAATACCTGTCCATGATGCATTATTTCAAGGCAACCAGGTTGCTGGATCCACGGTTCCCCATCAATCTGAACAGGAAAGGGACTGTCCATGTGTAACCTTATTACTTTTCCTTGGGCCAGTCTTCGGGCTTTTGAAAGTCCTACCTGTTTTACCATTGAACAGATCAAAATTCTTTGTGATGACCTATGAAAAATATGTCCGAATCTTTCAAGATTCTACAACACTTCTCTTTTTCCTATTTAATAAAAAGAGTATTTGCTTTTTTGCTTTATCATTTCCTTATTTTGTTTCCTCCAAATTTACTAAGAAGTCATAGCCCAAAAAGAACAATATTATAATGAAAATCAGAAGAGAAGAAAGTAAAACCTGAAGTTTCCCAAGGTGCCATGCCCCAGATATGCATACAACTTCAAGTGTTTGATCATGCATCGACTGCATGTCAAAATCATCATCATGCTCATAGTCATTTTGCCATAGATCCACCCCTCCCATGTAGCTACTGATATTTAACACAAGCACACCTTCTGCATCCTGGGAGAAGTGCCAAAGATAGTGAAATAAGATAGACCCTAAAGAAGATAATATGGAATAGCTAGAAAACAAGAGTGTAATTTCACCTCTGGGATTTCAATTTCGTGACCATCGACTTCAAGCTTTACTTCCCATGGTAAATCAGCACATGTTCTGTCCATGATATCCTTGGCACCCTCTTTAGCATATCGCAACTTGTTTACAAACTGTAAAATAGTTATCAGTCAGACATAAAATTTTAGGCCCATAATTACATTATGACCACAGCTTCGATGAAAATAAAAAGATCATTTTAGTAATGACATCATAAAGCATGCAGCTAACTATGAGAAACCTTTCTTCCACTTCTGTAGTTATGCTCTTTCAAATTTGGAAAAACTAACAGAAGTTCTCACAAAGTTTAGGTTTATACTGCCAGTGCTCAAATATCATGACGACTTTCATGGCATAATGCCTCTCTTTGAACTAAGGGTAGGGGGTCATCCTAAAAGAGCAGGACACATTCATGTTTCATGGTGCAATACGACGCACATGCTTATCTAATACGAAGCATGTGCGTCTTCTTTAAAAGCAAAGGTACAATACTGTATTGCAGAGAGCATTATAACTACATTGATAGTGTTGAATGTTTAAGATAAATGAACATATTAGACCTTGACCAGACAGAACAAGTACAATTGCTCATTGTTCAAAAACAAAAGCCAAACTTCATTACTGGGTCTTAAGGACCAAAATAGTTGTGTCAATTATATGACACCGCCAATTCAACTTATAAAAGGAATTTTATCTATCAAATTGCTTAAGTGCAACTAAAGCAGACTTCCGTCTTATATTTTTTTGCTTCTAGACAAGTATAATGCTGAAGCAAAGTCAACCAGTGAAATGATAACCCCAAAGAAATATAAATAGAAAAGTTAATAAAATAGAATACCCTGATGTCTAGCTGAAATCACCTATAAAGAAAATACTCAAGGGATAAAAAGGGCTGAAGAAATTACCTGGCTATAGAACTTGTCAGGTCTTTCTTCCCGAGTCATGTGGAAGTCATATGCTACCTTTGCATCACATCCAATGCCTAGTTGAGAATGGTGGAAGAGAGAAACAGAAAAGAATTCAAAATGTTCTAGACTAAACTCATTGCTGATCGAAGTGGCCAACAGTTTAAGCAAGCATACCAAGATAGTTTGTCATGAACTTCAACTGCTTTACATTTTTGCCTTTCTCCACATTGTGTTCCTTAATTGTGACACTCCAACGATCTAACATAGTAAGTGCTGCTTGGTCGATATCATGAAGAAGGGCTTCTAAGCCACCTTGCCCTTCAATTGAAGACAAGCCTCCTCCCCATTGTAAAACTCGAGACAAGTCATTCCCTGTGCCAAGTGGAAGTATTGCAACAGGAGGAGGAGATTCAAAGTTTTCCTTCTCAATGGCATCAAGAACCCAGGCTACGGTACCATCCCCACCACAGACGAGAACTCTGAAGTATCGGATATCATGGAACATTTTCAATGCAACTTCAGGTCCCCGCATAGCGCTTAATCCAAAGATCTGAAATTATATACTTTATAATTAGCAGAACTACTAATTCATTGGATACTATTAATTTAAAACCATAGAACTGTGTTGGTCAATAATTCCAATCAAACTTTAATAAACAGTAAGTGTTCCATGTTAAAGTCACTGATAAAACAGATCTATCATAAAGGCTATCAAATACTCCTTCGAATATGTATTCGTTCAGGTCAGGAAGTGCTATAACAGAATCCAAAAATATAATTATCCAGTTTTGAAATATGATTGTCCATGAACAATCAAGACAACTTTTTCCTATTATTTCAATTACAAGGATATTGTTCTAAAAAACAACCATAGCAGTCACTATAATGGTCACTATGGTAGCTTATAGTGCTATGCGCCATCATTTGCAGTAGTGTAATATTGCGATTTAACTTACAGCTACTTTAGTAGGCTATAACAGACTAGTGGCCATTGAGTTCCGGGCTCTAGCAGGTGCTCCAAGCCCAATAACCCTTTTAACTAGCAGGTTGATATAAATCTGTTAAGAAAAGGCTAAGTTAACACAAGGTAAATGTGTTTCTAGGTTTTCAAGTAACAATGTCACAATGAAAAGATTTTGACTTTATCTTCAACCCAGCAACAACTTTTTAACTAGCAAAGGCGATTGTTCACCTATCCCACCTTGCTACTCCAGGGCAATCTCTCTCCTCTGCATGCTCTCCCTTCCCTGCACTTTGAATCCTTCTCTCTCTCTCTCTCTCTCTCTCACTCTCTCTCACATACAGACTATAAGTGGACATCACAGTGCATTTTAATATTCTGATATTACATAGCATTTCTATTTATGTGAAACTTGTGGTTGCCTCAATATGAACATTTATTTGAACCTTTGTTATAGTAATCATTGACATATTTACATTATAAATTAATTATTTTTGCCGGTGAAGAGAGTGAGATGTAACATCCGACGAGGTTGCTTCTTTATGATCTAGGTGATTGAGTTTTGAGTCACATAATGTCTCTATGCTTCAAAGGATAATTCTGCAAAAATTAACCATCTGTATATCCTGCATTGGCAAGAGCCTTGTTCAATTGGACCTCCCATCGTTTTTTATTATTGGTGAACCGTTTTGTTCTCGGAGTGCCTAACATATGCTACCTTACTTGAAGATCATCTACCACTATGGTTTGGCACACACAATTTACAATATAAAGGTAAAAGAATTTTAAAAATAAAAAACAGAAAAATAGAAAATAAAAATAAGACTATATTCAGAACATATATGCTTTCACCAAAACATCACTACCAAAAAACATGATATGGTGTATAAAGAGAGAGAAAATACTAATTAAATAGCCAAGAAACAACATAAAGTACACTGACCTGTACAGGGTTCAGTAACATGTTCAATCTCCTTCTTAGAGAAGTTCCATTCTGACCACCACTTTTGGCATTAATAAAAACAAGAAGTGGTCTGGCATCCTGCGGCAAATCAACCACCTTATACTTGTCTATTCCATCAACATCAACAGTGTACTTGTTTTTCTTGTAGAGAACCTTGCTAGTGCTTCTAAGATTTGCTGATCCATCGTCCTGATTGTTCTTTTTGTTGGACTTGTTCCATCCAGCAAGCCTTCTAAGCATTGATTCAAATAGCGAGTTTTCCTCCACATCATTCTGCAATTTACTATTAGGAATTCCAGAAGGCACTGGATGGTTGTTGCCATATTTACTTCGGTTTTGCCGCCTTCTCAAGCCACCCCTCATTGATGAAGCAATTATCTCTTCCTTGATAGAATTCAACATACCACTAGTTGTTTGTCTCCCATTTGGGTTTTGCACAGAAAGAGGAGAAAGGATAAGTCTTCTTAGAGGGCCTAAATCACAAACATTACCAGTCTCTTTCAGTAATTTGGCATGACAATCAACATGTACAAGGCGCTGACACCACAAGCAGCACCAAATGGGAGAAGCACCAAGAAAAGGTATGCCACATAGTTCATCACAGAAACAGCAAAAACAAGACATCTCAGGGTTCTCATCCGAGTTCACCCATCTCTCCGACCAATGATGCAGCAGGTGAGATGCACCAGCTTGTGCTGAAAGTTTGCAGTCTTTTGTGGCATACTGAGAACAGTGAAAATGAGCTGCAACACCACAAACAGTGCAACGGTGAATGAGACCATTCCCTGTCCCATTGGCACCACAAGTTTGTGGGGAGGCTAATGAATACAAACAAACAAAACATGTGGATGGTTGACCACTATGAGAGCAGTCTTCTGTCCATGCATGAGGCGCAGTTGGACATTTTAGATGTGCCCATGCTTTCTTTTTTTCTCTAGCTGCGGCTTTAACCCAGTTCACGGATGCCTGCCTCTGCAACTTTAGGAACACATAAACAACAGCCAGAAGTCCAAATGATCCAGCAGTGACGAGCCAACTAAAAATCCCAAATCTGAAAACCACAGATTCAGTAGCCGTTCTTAAAAGTGTGGCACCAAAATCCATAATTATTAGCCTCAGTTGGATCCAAAAAAAAATCTGAAAAGAAAACATGATGACCACTAAGCAATTCAGTTAAAAATACACATAATGTCATTCCTCTCTCCAAGATGAACAAGTTAAGTTGATTGAAGCACCATTCAAACATCATATAACAGCATTCATTTATGATCAAGACATGTAAAAAAGACTTTGACATTGCTGTTCAATGGTGTCAGAAAAAATATCCGGAATTATTTATGACATGCACCAACGAGGAGAAGACATTAAGCAGAAATCATATGGGTTCTAAACTTATATAGAAAATTATTCTGAAGTTGTCTAACTAGTGATTCAACAAACAATTCAAACATCCCAATAAGTCCAACCTTCCAAGATATGTAGGTAATTGCTGTTGAAAGACCGGAGTTCATAGACCAAATATAAGATGAAGAACTTTTGTCATTATTACGACAGGCGAATCAATTTTAAGCTATGGAAGCTTCATGTCAAAACGGAAGTCCCATCACGAGAGCACCTCAGAAACGACAAGCAGAAGAAGACGCAGAAGTCCAAAAACAAGAAGGAAACGCCAGTCAAAAGCCCAAATCAATCTACCGAAGCTACATCCGACGAAAGACAGCAAAAACCCTAACAGCGATTCAAGAATCATCAAGCCAACACATAAACCGACACCGCGGCAGCGAATGCCCATAACATCGGGGCCAGATCTGATCCTACATTACCAGAACAAAAAAACTGCAAACACAGGCAACCAATTACGTACCTCCAAAGTCCAAACCCCTCAATTCCTCTCCCGCACTCTATCGCTCTCTTCTCTTTCTCGATCGCCTCTTCCTTAGAGGCGAAGGAAAGAAGAAGAAGAAGCGAAAGGAAAGGAGAAATGGCGACGGAACCAAGGCGGGTTTGGCCGTCGACGGCTTTATATCGTTGCATCACATGGGATACGATGCGCGCACTCACGATGTCCATATACACGTATATAAACGCATGCGTAGCGGACGTGCGACTTCGTAAAACAAAGCAGGGGAAAAGTGTTTTCTGATTTTTTTTTGTTTTTTGCTTTTTTGTTTTGGAGAGAAAACAAATCTGATCTGGTCAAACATTTATACGAATATATATATATATATATATATATATATATATATATATATATATATTATATAAATAATAATAATAATAAAAGAAAAAAAATACAAAATAAAAAGGTCAATATAAGCCAACAATGTCTTACAGAATGAGAGATAATAATGATGAATTATCATATTCTTAATTCCATAATTACTCAACAAAAAACTAATTATATCTTTTAGTGTTTCATCTTTATGATAATTGGCACATTGGTTGGTTATAACATATTATAACAATAAGATACATAATAATATCATAAAAGTAATTGAATGAGAGGGAGGGTTAATAATTAATTACTTATGATAACCTTTATAGAATATTGTAATGAGAGGCAGAACCTGCAATAAAGTGTAGAGATTCTTCCTGATTAAATGCAGAGAATCTTTAGCAAAACTTTGGGAGATTAAAAACAGAAAAGAATGCCCAGAGATATATTAATAACACATCTTTAATGTAGAGAATCAAGTCCATGCATGCTTCTTGATGCCTTGGAAGAATCATATTATGTTGCATATAAAGTGGCCAAAAAAATTCATCATTTTCTACTATCAATCTTTATTTTATTCCATTAAAATGCTGAGAATATTAAAACAGGAAGAGAACATTCAGGTGGGGGAGGAAACAGAACCTTCATTGTTCTTGCTGTAGTGGCCCAGACCAAGTGTTCCATGTTCTTATTGTTGTTGTATACTCCTGCATACAATCAATTCAAAACTGGTTGGAGCTAATTAGTTGTCCCAATATCTAACAGATGATCTCATTTATGAACTCAGAAAATGATAGATTCGAATATGAACTCACAGGCCAATCTTGTCACTGTTACAACAATATCATGCAACAGGAATGATATAAAAATTACAGTTGAGATCCAACACTCCTGTTCAAGCCAAGCTCATGTGACCTTATGCTGCCGTCCTCACCATAAAGAAAGAAAAAAGGTCATGATGTATGGGCATCACATGAAAATGACATTTTCTTCACGTTGCAGCAAAGTAAGCAAGCTTATTCAAGGCATTGGCTTACCAGATCATGGAGTTGGAATGGGAAATGGCAGTCAAATGTCAATGATGATGGATATATAAGCCCAGATTTGTGAGCTAAATTAATCTCACCAGTCCTGAAAGAGACAAGCATGCAAGAAGGATCCAAGTATTAATCATGATAAAGAGTGCAGTTGACTGTAGTTTTCAGGCTAATCTAAAATCCTTAAGAGACGAAGAAAGGGAAGTGGCAGATGAGCAACCTAACAACCAATTAACATACCTGTCTCGACGATGACCAGTTCCAGTTCCAATCACTGCTTTAAATGGTGTCACAATGAGGACAACTTATATGAAACAGTTTACAGATGAAGCAGGAAAAGTGAAGGGAATCCGATAAGTTCTACTTGCACATGAACAAGTTTAGCAGTCAGAAGAATGATTTTCCATCCAAATTGTAAACGGCACAGGCAAGATGTGGACTGCGACCATAGACTATCTTGTGTTTTGCGTCATCGTTTGATCCAAATATTTGACCTGGTAAAAGAATGCATGCTTGGTGATGCTTCTGGTTCTGGAAGTCAGAGGAAGAAGACTTCTGGTTCTGGAAGTGGCAGATGAGCAACCTTACAACCAATTAACATACCTGTCTCAATGATGACCAGTTCCAGTTCCAGTCACTGCTTTAAATGGTGTCACAATGAGGACAATTTATATGAAACAGTTTACAGATGAAGCAGGAAAGTGAAGGGAATCAGATAAGTTCTACTTGTACATGAACAAGTTTAGCAGTCAGAAGATGATTTTCCATCCAAATTGTAAATGGCACAGTCAAGATGTGGGCTGCAACCATAGACTATCTTGTGTTTTGTGTCATTGGTTGATCCAAATGTTTGGCCTGGTAAAAGAATGCATGCCTGGTGATGCTTCTGGTTCTGGAAGTCAGAGGAAAAAGACTTAGAAGTAGGAACACATTAAATTGCATACAACAACAATGACAACAACAATACTATTTGGGGTTGGCTACTTGGATTTTGTTCATCATCAAGCTTGTCTATGACAATGTCATTGCCCACACATGATATTGGTATCGCATGAGACCAATGATTTCAAAATTGAGATTTTTTTTCTAGTTGTTTTGGTATTAGAAGTAAGCAAATTTCCAATATATTTCATTTTCGTGAAATTTCTTAGAAGCATTTTAGTTTACTTCTTATATATGAGAAGAGATCACCGAGGAAGAAGTTGCATAGGAGCTTCACCAACTCCCAGCTAATATCAAGATCATATATACAAATATACAAATATGGTTAGATGTACTGGTACATTGAAATGGTCTAGAGTATGAAGGAAGCAAAGGCAGCACATTGAGAAAATACAGCCGGCCCAACTTCTAAGCAATACCTAATGCACATGCCAGATGCTTGTACAATACTAAAGCAACACGAGTATTAACCATCAAGGAGAAGCAACAAATCCATAAATATTGTGCTCGAGAAAAAACCTCTTATGGTAATTCTCATAACTCTGTACATAATTAAATCCAGTGTTCTCCGAATAGAACAATTTATTTGGAAATGAAAGACCAACAAAATGAAATTAACATGAATAACACACTCCAACTACACCCTTTTCTTTAGAGAAAAATGCAACATAGACCAAAAGAACTAATAGAAAGTCATTCTAGAATTAGCTTAAAAACATGGCCTCGTGGTAACTGGCATTACTGACACCAATATTTCAAGTCTTCTAAACACTTCAAGATAGAAAGTTTAAGGGTTACGTCAAAAAAAATGCTACATGCTTTGCATGTTGAAACTCCCTGATCAAATCCCAAGGAGAATGAGGTCTGGAATTTGGAACAAAAAATCCATGCAAATTTGCAGAAGATACAACAACAACAACAACAAAACTGTGAATTTGCAAAAGATAATAATGAAATTATTATCCTTTTCTATTTCTATTATTTTTTTAGTGCAAACATGTAGACTATTACATGGTAAACAATTCTGTAGATAAGCATCAGATTTGTGAATCAGGAATTATTTACTTGATACACTATTCTAACAATCTCTTTAAATATCTATAGAAAAATGAACCAGGGGAAGGATGCATTCAAGTATAAAAAAAAGCACTTAATTTTGTCATCATCGAAAGAATGCTCATGAGTTTCAAATTGTGATGTCTGATTTTAGGATGTTTTTTTCTACTAAATTCTTAAATAGGCCTGATCAAATCCAAATTCCAAAGCATTCTAATGAAGTAGAAGTATCCAAATGATCTCAATTTCAATATGTACAGATATACCGAGCCCTGCTCGTTATGGTACGTACCGACCGGTACACCTCAGTAACGATCAAAATCCAATGTGTACCGATCGGTACCAAGGCATATCGGTCAGTACGCACCAAATTTCAACTGTTATCGCCCGGTATGGACCTCGTAGCACCCAACACGAGGTCAAAACACCGGTACTGCCCGGTAGAGGGTGATCTGCATACCGGTATCCTCTCGGACTGGTACATACAGTCCGTACCGGGCGGTACACATCGAAATTGAAAAACCTAGAAGTATCCACTCAAGAAGTCCTCAAATGGAAACCTTTCCATGACTAAATTCAATCTCATAAGAGTTGAAGTGACAAGAAAATAAGCGCAAAGAAACATGGGTAACAATGATGAGGATAGTAATTGGTCTTTAAAGCAAGAGAGCATCTGGCCCTAGTCATGTTTCAAATCTTGGCATATACAACCAACTTAGGATTACGGTCCTCATAAAGAGATGAGAACTTGTTTAGAATTGTCTTGTTAAATGTTTGCATTTAGAAATCATAAGAGATCTTAGCTTGGTGACCAATGGTAAGGATCATTCACGTTTAGAAATGGTAAGCATGAAACACCTGTTTTCCACATACCTCAGATAAGGCATTTGTATCATAATTCACAACCTAGGAAAAAATAGAGCCTTTCAAGATTTTTATGAAGGCATATAGTACAACTTGTACATGCTACAATTTCCAAACTGCTCTTTATTAACTTTAAACCCCATACTAGGCAAAGCATAAATTTGATTAGTGTACAGTACAGTCACTAGCAAGACAAGATGTAAAACACTTGAGCAAGAAGCTTCAAGATTTGATTTAATTAAGGCCCATGAGCACCATATGTTATCTGCAAAGGCTGTAACAGTAACACCCTTTTTAGCATATGAGAGTGGCAGTTATCAGATAGAATCCATATTAAGTTGCAAGTGGCAGATCGATAACTAAAATCCAAGTCTCCAATCACATAACTTCAGAATTGCATAAAGGCCCTAAATTTGAAGAGGTAGAATGAAAGCTCTGCAAACATTAAAAGCAGGCTTATGAGGGAGACAATTTTCTTGTCAATTACTGTATCTAATATTAATCATGAAACTCAAAGGAAAATTGGATGAACACTAAATTGAAGGAAAATTTTCGTGTCCATTAGCAGTAGATTGACTAGCATAGCATGACTAAAGATAACACTTCATTTTTATCCTTTCTACAACCAGGTGATCTGAGTAACTGCAAAATTTCTAATGCGGTAATAATGGATTAAGCCTCTACAAATATCAAGAAACACATAATTTGTAAACTTTATGTTTTTGTTTTCTATAGCCAACAACACCTGCGAGGGAAGTTATATAAGTAGCTCAAATCATTTAAGTTAATAATGTACTATACATGGATAGAATTTGAGAACTAAACTCATAGATCATTGCAGGTAAAAAATTAAGATAGTTCTGGACATTTAAAAGCTTGATCTAATATTCTATCAATACATGGTGTTGGAGACATGAGCGAGAAAAGCAAAGCATCTCACACTTCAAATAAGTGGTTTTTATAGAAAAATTTCCAATCAGAATCACCAGAAGAATCCAACACAAGTCCCTCTATGCTAATGGATTCGGCACATGAGATCGGTCCTTCTGGAGGAACTTTTGCTTCAACCTTTTCCGCATCAAACACAAACTCAATAGACCCAAAACCAGCTGTTGCAATCTGTTCATTTTGATTCTTTAGAATGGAGCTGCTATTTCTGGGTTCAAACTTAAGATTGGCAATTGGTCCTGCTCTGTCTTCTTCATGGTGATTGAAGTTATCCTCATCATCTGATAGCCACTGACTGCCATCCAGTTCACCCATCTCAAAGATCCTACTCACCAGTCCTTCTCTCCATGATATCCTTGTCTGAGAACTTGGAAATACCTGTTCTTTAGCACAAATATTTTTCACTGCAGAGTATCTGTCACATGATGGATTTTGAAAACGATTTAGATCAACAGAGTTTGATGGGGTTGCCAGGCATCCAAACTGGAAATTGAGCTTGGTTGATGGCACTTGACAACTTGTCTCGTTGCTTACTGGCTTTGGTGACCAGCTGATGTTCTCGATAGCTTCTGCCATTTTGTCAATCTTCAAGTCAGACAAATTTAATTTCTTTGTTGAGCTCGAGGAAGATGATGGGGTGCAGATAGCATGGCCTTCAATCCAAGAGCTGCCAGAAAATGTTGAGCTCTCCAATGCAGAACCATAACGGTGTGCTCCCCTCTCTTGTTGAGGCCTAAGAAGTTTGCTTTTAGATGTCTTTGCAATCCTTTCTAAGATCATAGAGAAAGGACTAATACTACCACCAGTAGTAGGGGTTTTCTGAATTCCAATACCAGATGATGGTGTTTCTTCTAGACCTGGAGGCTTGAAATCCAACAACCCCCTGAGGTCAGGTGAGTTCACCATGTTTGAATTATTAGGAGAGAACCCCCAAAATCCATGATCAAGTGAAGTTCTAGTCTGCAATGAGAACTCATCTCTGGGCATGCTGTCTCCACCTTCACAAGTGGGAAGAAGCCAATCCACGGAAGCTTCAGCAGGGCGATGCACCATATGAACTTTCGAGCTAGAACTAACACTGCTACCAAGATCGGAGTTAACCTTCTCTGAGGGTGAAGACAGCCAACGTATAGATGCCACCGCAAGAGGAGGAGGTATTGCAGAGACCCGAGTTGGATCGGTACCCCCAACATTAACATCTTCGATGTCCAATCCACATCCGCCGATAGTCAGTATGCCTCTCGGCCGGCATTTCCTCCGGTCGTGCACTCTGGCGATCACATGGCCTGCGGCAAAACAAGCAGGTGTGGCAGCCACCGCAGAAGCATCCACGGGGACCTCGGGCGAAATGGACGCTTGAACGGGAGGTGTGGTGGCCGAAGTCGGTGTGAGAGTTATCATTTGTTCCACTTCCTTCGCTGCCTCCAAGACGACATGAGCATCAAAACCCTGAAGTGTTTTCTCAGGAGTCGAAGCCAAACGAGAACCTACCTTTCCCTCCGAACCCTCTTCAAGATCGAATTTTGAGTCGGGGTTTTGCTCGTTGGAGGCAGGTCTTCTCTTGTTCCAGAGCTGGAGGAGGTCTGGGGTTCTCGGTTTCGAGGGTTTACTCGATCCGAGCTGCTTGGGGACACCAGGACTGGATTTTGATTCATTCTTTTGGGTCCGGTACCTGGAAGGGTTTGTGAGGTTCCTGGGATTGGTGGCGTCGTTTCTGGGATTGGAAGGCGCCGATCGGGGAGTTCTTGGACGCGGCTTGGATCGGGCAAGCGGCTCCTTAGCAGAGGAGTTGGGGAGCAAGAACCTGAAGCAACCCCCTTTGGGAGCCTCGGCGGAGCCAAAAGGAGGAGGAACGGAGCCACTGTTGAGCTCCTTCAGTGGATTTCTGGGGCTCAGCTTCTTCCTGGCCTCAAATTTCTTCGCCAGAGACTCCTTCGAGCTCCTCCTCTCCAGCTTCGGAGGCCCGTTCGTGACATCTCGCCCCATTCCGTCGACAGATCCGTTGGCAACGTGGAATCTTTTTGAAATGAGACGACGAGGGTTCCTCCGCCTTCGGCTCGATCGTCGACGTCTGCTCGATTCAAATCGTTCTACATGCGACGTGAGGCAGAGGCAGGCAACGATCTGAACCGTCCATGATGCGGACACGATTCATATTGGGCGGTAGGATCTCTGACGGCAGCTTGAGATTGACGGCGGTGATCGGCTCGGTCAGTCCTTTCGACCTTACAGATAATGCAATTTTATTGATATTAAATGATTTGATGATATTTGTCAACTTGACCTTTATTTTGGCCGCTAGTGGTCGGTGCTATTGACTTGAGTCGAATGTTGACCAAATAATTTATTTTTTTATTTATCAATTAAAATCGATTAATCGAATCGAAATCGAAACTGAACACTTCTGCAGAACCGTTTTGGATTGTTAAAATTAACACTTTAAAGAATAAAAAAAATATTTTTTAATTTATCAATAAAAATCGATGAATCGAATCGAAATCCAAACCGAAACCGAACACTTCTGCATGAATCATTCAGGATTGATATGATGCATAACAATTACCAATCGGATTAAGAAAAAGTAACAAATATCAAGTCATAAAATCCAATACCAACACATATGTATTGTATCAGTGAGAATAAGCAAGAATTTGTTTGGTAAAATAAGCAACAAACTGTAAAAATAGTAGTGAAATGTCAGTGAGAATCCAATCAATTTGTATGGCATGCCAGTAGCATAACTAGTTACAACACCACATGTACTCACTCATCAATTCCTGATGTGCATCAATCCAACAATCATAAATATTAATTATCAAACAAATTCATCACACTTGCAAGAATTCAGCAGAGAAAGAATAGGAAGGAAAAAAGTATACACCGAGCTATTCATAAGACAAGCAGATTAAAATTCTTGGAAAGCTAGTCACAAACAATCATTATAAGTAAATAAACCACACCTATTTGGAAATGCTAATGTCCATGACATCAAAGGCTTCCTTGGCACAATCAACAAACTCCCACAATTTTACAGCTGCAAGGCTATGCAGATAATTTGCCTCCTACCCAGGGTAAAGGTAGAATTACATTCAGGTAATTAACATAGACTTTAGGGAAACAGGCAACTGATACAAGCTTCCAACATGAATTATATATTTCCAGCAAGCTCATTCTTCTATAGATATAGAAATATCCCATAAACGAGACTTCTGAAGAGCCGACATATCCCAAAGTAGTGAGACTTGGGAGCTCCTCCAAGTTGCAGGTTGTACCATGAGTGATCCCATATAAATTGTGCCTTGATGCTGAAATCTTGATTTTCCCTCAAGACTTCAATCTTCCTCCAAATGCACATTTGGATCTCAACTGCTTTTTACAGACCTAACATACAAATGTGCTAAAACTGCAAAAGTAAGGCTTGCATGTGATGCTTGGATATCACATAATATCATAACATGAAAAGCAAGGACGAAATGAAAGAATAAGATGCAAGACATAGCAAAAATTTGAAATTCATAACCAAACATGTTCTGGTAGGATCCGTGGACACACCTAGGGCTATATTCTACAACTTCATGCACTTTCCATTAACCAGTTGCACCAGAAGTTTCTTTTGGTTCTTGAGTTGCTTGCAAAGACTTGTGGCCACGATACATCTTTCGTCTCTTTGGTGGGACAACTGTCGGAGCAGGCGAATCCTTTGGGTTCTGAGTAGCCTACATGTTCTCAGATTATCTCATTAGAAAGAAATACAGTAAGAAATATTCCATGCAAGCAACTACAAAGCAACTAAATTAACCTGGAGCATTGGCTGATAGATCCATGGCATCATAGGCCCGTTTCCAAAAGTCTGAGGGTCAAACCCACCCTGTAATGCATATACCTCCCGAATTAGAGCTGGATAAGGCACTTCAAATAATCTTTCAATAAGAGAAACAAAGAAGCCATGCCTACATCCTCTTTCAGGGCACTTGTTAATGTATAGATGAACTTTACATAGCATTAAATTAACATTACAAGAAAGATAAAGCTCAGGGAGGCAAGAAGAAGGGGTGAAAGGAGAAACAAACCGGGAACATGTATACTATGCCTGGTCTCATTGTTGTTTGGTTCCCATTCAGTGGTATACCAAAATGACCACGAGGAGGCAAGACAGCTGTGTTTCCTCCTTCCTGCCATAAACATCATTGCCAATGAAAATGAACAATTCTATATAGTCTAAGAAAACAAAGATAAAGATGCAAGACACTAAAATTATGAGAACCGTTGGTCTCGTGTTTGGTTGAAGCCTGATTTGGGTGGCAAGATACGGAGTCGGAAGACCTTGGAACTCATAGCTACCATCAGCAGCCTTTGTGATTCCATGAGGAGGCTGTTCATACAACAAGGTTAAAGAAAAAGTTAGCAATATAAATCAAGTAATGAAACTGACATAAATGCATCTAATTAATCAACCACTGCATTCATATAAACGTAACCTCTACATGGGCCTCATTCATTTGTGGCTGCCCACCAAGAAGTTGCACTGCATTTCCATTTTCAGAAGCCACACTCTTTCCAGCATTTTGATTGTGATTCCGGTTCAATCTGTTTGCTTTGGGAACACGAAGCTTAATCCTAGGTTGTGTATCATCATGTGTTTTGTCACTAAGAAGAAACTTCTCCACCTCTTTTATCAACTTTAGAGCAAGTTGGTATTTATCTGAAAGTACTCCAACTTCAACCAGCTGAAGGCATCGCATTGATAAATAATCATAACGGTCAACTCTATTATTAGCGATCACATCATCTGAAGATCGAGCCAGAACATGCAATCGCTTGAAGTCCTTTTTCCACCGATCCAGAACATATTGAGATGGAATTTCATGCACTTGTTGCCACTTTAATACAGACAAAGCGTGCCTGCATAGAATCCCTCTAAACTGAAAAGAACCACATATGCATTGAATCTCCTTCTCTTCTGTGTTGTATAAAACTCCGTGATTCTTATTCATTGTCCTCTTGCCATCATCAAGAAAGATACATTCCTTGACATCAAAAGTAGATACCGGCCCATCTACATTGACCAGTGATGCATGACAGTACATTATGGCCTCAATCTCATCCTGGAATTTTTTAAACATATTAAGTGTGTATACTCTGGACAGTTGCTCTTCCATGTGAAATTTTGAGACAGACGGTCGTCTCTTATGAAATGTCTCAAAATCTGCTTGAGCTTCCTTTTCGTATTTATCCAGCAATGCCATCTCATATTTACTAAGAAATTGCTTCAGGGAAGTCTTTGCTTCCACATGCCCATCAAAAAATGCAACCATAGTTTCGTTACGTTGGGTGGTCGACATACCTGCCCAAAATGTGTCTTTTAGATAAACAGGGACCCAAGAATGTCGGCATTCATATAATGACCTGAACCATTCATTACCATGAAGTCCATACATCTCAACCATCCTTCTCCAGTCGTCCTCAAACTCCTCAGCTGTTAAAGAATCATAAACAGCCTTTTGCATTGCCTTATTAATAGCTCTATACTCCGCTAATCCACCTAATTTCTCAGGAACTTTTTTCATTATCTGCGACAAGCATATGCGATGACGAACTTCAGGGAGCACTTGAGCAACCGCACTCTGAATGCTCTTAGATTGATCGGTGATCAGGGCCTTAGGAAACTCCCCATACATACATGCTATCCATGCCTTGAACAACCATACATAGGTCTCCATGGTCTCATCCGAGAGCAAACAGCAACCCAAGAGCACCAACTGACCATGATGGTTCACCCCAACAAAGGTGGCCAAAGGCAAATCATATTTATTTATCACATAGGTCGTATCAAGCACAACGACATCATTATAGTACTGATAAGCAGCTCTTGACCGTGCATCTGCCCAGAATACATTCCTAACACAGCCTTCCTCATCCAAATCAATGACATTGAAGAAATTTGTATTCTTCGCCTGCATTCTAGTAAAGAAGAGACGAAGTGCCTCGGCATCCCCTTCTCCGAGCTTCAATCGACCCCTTTCCACAAAACTCCTATGTTCACTCTCACTAAAAAGTAGTTCTTCAAGCGCGCTTAATCGCTCAATGGGCATCCTTGGAGGCAATCTTGGCTGTACTGTCTCTCCATCCTTGTTACGCTCAGCGCGCTTCTTGGCAGCACCTGATAGCTGCCTATAACAGCTCAAGAACCGTGCCATCGAGGGGCTAACCGGATGGTTATGATCAATATTAGCCACGACCAAGTGCAGCATCCCATCTCCCCACAGCTTCACCTTGATTCTAGCTGGACAATTCGTCTTTGCTGAGTTCCTTTTCCGGTACTTGGCCTCAGGTCGATTCCGACCTCCCTTGCAGCACATCAGCTCTAGGTACAGGCAGTGGCCGTCTTCAGTGAAGGCAGATCTTCTTATCGCAATGCCAAACCCAACCCGGCGAGCATACCTCTTGTAGAATCTGGAAACCTCTTGATGATTCTTAAACACCATGCCCACCTCAGGTACTCTGTCATCGACTTCAGCCCCGGCATTACCATCATCCAACTCATCATCCTCCATTCCGTCGAGCCCTTCCAAACCCACGTCTCCCATCACATCCTAAATTGGCATCAAAAGAAAGCCAAGAAACACTATAAAAGAACGCTTTTTTCGGGGACAAAATTGCACCTTTCAAGCTATAGATTTATTCTGTATCTCAAGTTACAATAGCCACGCAAAACAAAAGGCAAAACCGGAAATCTGAAGCAAGTAACGGAGAAACTCTTGAAAGGTACAAAGGATCGAAGTAGAGGGCAAGAAACAGGAGCAGCCAGAGGAGATCAATTGTAGGGGAGAGAGATCCGACCTGGGAGTTGAGAGAGAAGGGCTGCCTTCTAGGTTTCTTCGACCGGGAGCCGTGTCCTTCCATCACCTCCTCCTTCGCTTGCTTGGGGATCGGAGACTGTGGCCCTGCCGCGGATCTCCGGCGAGGCGGGGTCGATCCTTAGGGTTTCTTTTCGGGAGAGGGGGCAAATTAGGGGGCGATACAGGGAGGGCGGTTTCCGGACCGTGCGTGGTTGTTTTCTGCTTTCATAGGTGAAGGGACCCACCCGAGATGTATGGAGGGTAAAGCTTTGGGTAGTCGAATTAAAAGAAATTGCACAAACATCCTTTTAAAGCTTGTAAATCACACAAATATTCCTCCAATGTTTAGAATTTAGACACCTAACTAAACACCAATGATTAATTTCATTATATTAAAATTAAACAAAATTGTTTAGAGGGTTAAGTCCATTATATTAAAATTTAAAATTCTAATTAATATTTTATCAATTTATCTAACTTTGTTATAGGATAGAGAATATAAGAAGAAGGTATTTTAGTAGGTCTTCTATTGGCAATGGATTTGATCAAGCTATTTGATTGAATCCATTAAGATTATGAGGTGGCAATGTGGTTCACTTGTGAGTCAATTGGTGCATAATAACATCATGAACAAACATCTTAAATTGGAACTAATATTATAAATTTAACTTTAAAAGGTCAATGTTCTGTTCATCAATTGAATATGAAAAAAAGGGCAACACCTACACATGTTTAGTGCTTGTGATTGGAGTTCAAGGACCCACATATGGAACAATTCATGTAAGTGGGTAAGATTTTTTTTTTTTTAACAAAATTGTCCATGAAAAGTTTGTGTACTTTTTTTTTTTTTAAAAGGTGTGTGTGTAAGTGGGTGAATGACATGGCATCATTCATGATTCTAAATCCATGATCATAACCCAGGTTTTTTATATGAGTTTAGGTTTAAGATACAGTAAATTCCAAGTTAAAAGGTAATATTTCATTTTTGTTTTATTTTCACAAGTAACCCATATTTTCTAGTAGATAAGATTACCTTTGATATTTACTCCACAATAGTTGTTTCTATCTTTCGTCACTATTTATCGTTTTCACCTTATTACAAGGCCCTATTACTATTTGATGGTGTTGAGGTCGGGCATGAGGTTGAGGGCAAAAAGATAGCCACGGTGTTGCCTCCGTCACCTCCATCCTATCACTAAGGCCTTATTATATTTCGTTATATCGGTTGTTGGGCCCTCCTAATGTATCATGATGGTCAACTTCGATTAAAAGAAAAGAGATAGTTACGATAAGACTTCATTTCTCTCCTCTCCCAAATGATCCATTGTATAAGTTGCCACTAGCGCTCCTCAAGCTACTATGCTCTCTTGATCGAATAACAACGAAGAACGAAAGTGAGTAGGAGTGTACTCATTTAATATGAGGGCTCAAAATTTAGGAGGTGAAGGAGGTGGTTGAGGATGTCCTCCTTAAAAAATGGTACAATATAAGGCATTTGAGATGGAAACCGGAGGAAAATGACCACAATGACATGAACTATGATAAAAATAGGAGGATGAGGGCAAGAGCCTCGTGATGGGATTTTAGCAACACATCGATAATAACAGACAATGGCACAAGGACAATGGTAATAGTAAGATATAAGGGTGAAGATGAAGGTAGCAGACGAAACTATGATAATAATGGTAGACGCGGGATGGAGACAACCACGATAGGACGGAAGCTTGGGGTAATACTATCTCTTAAAAAATAAGAGATATTATATAAGAATAAAGTAAAAAATAATACTTTACGAAAGAAAAAATAAAAACATGATATTTTTTAAAAAGTTTACTCATAATTTTTTATATTTTATTATTTTGACTCCATGAAAAATTAGATTTTTCTAGTTATACATGTATAGAACAACAAAAATCTCATCATCTTCTATCTATAAAAGTTGAAGAGAAAAAAAATATTTTAAAATCTATGTGAGGGATTATGGGTACTTTCTTGAATTTTATTATTCTCACAAAGGATGATGAATCACCTAAATCTTGTAATTACTATTTTTCGTTTTATTTTAATTTTACATTTTCTTGATTGTCTATTTGGTATCACAGCATTCTTCTCGGACACCAAACATTCTTCCTGATTCATGAATTTTCTCAAGTTGACTTAATGTCAACTATCATGTCTCTTTTTATTGCAAAGGCAAGAGAACAAATAAACTCGAGTAGATGTGATGGTTAATTGGCACACTAACCCATAGTTCCTCCCCACTCATTTTGTCAAACATATATTAATCATTCATATAGAAAAGATCATAACATTATATCTGATTTAGAAGAGTAAACTGAGATCATATATATATATATATATATATATATATATATATATATATATATATATATCGAAGAAAGAGTATAAAGTGACCAACGGTCGAATTCTCGATCCCGCCTTTTGAGTATAACAGCCGTTGTGCTACTTCACCAGGTGTCATCCTCTTCCAACGGTCGAATTCCCAGCGCTCACCGCCGCCCCCTTCTCTCTCTCGCTTGGCTTTACAATATAAACCCATTTGCTCTGCTTCTCTCGCAGTCATCTCTCTCTCTCTCTCTCTCTCTCGCTCGCTCGCTCACTACAGAAGCCATGGGGATGATGTCCATCGCCTCGTCGCCACCGGAGGCGGCCTCGCCGGCGCATTGCCGCGCTCACAAGGCCTTCCTGCTCTGCAACTACGTCCTCCTAGGGGCCGCCTCCAGCTGCATCTTCCTCACCCTTTCCCTCCGCCTCATCCCCTCGGCCTGCGGCCTCCTCCTCATCCTCCTCCACGCCCTCACCATCGCCTCTGCTATCGCCGGGTGCGCCGCCGCCTCCGGCTCCTCCAGCCGCTGGTACGGTGCCCACATGGTCGCCACCGTCCTGACCGCCATCCTCCAGGGCTCCGTCGCCGTGCTCGTCTTCACCAGGACGTCGGACTTCCTGGCGGATGGCCTCCGGTCCTACGTCCGGGAGGAGGACGGGGCGGTGATACTGAAGATGGTGGGGGCGCTCTGCCTGGTCATCTTCTGCATGGAGTGGGTGGTGATGGCTTTGGCCTTCGTGTTGAGGTACCACACCTATGTGGATGGGAGCGGCGTGAGGAGGAGCGCCAAGGTGCAGCAGGAGGGGGATGTGAGCAATTGGCCATGGCCTTTACAGGTCTAAGCAATGCTCGCTTTGGCTGTTGATTGGGTGCTCAGCTAGTTTATTTGCAGATTGCTTTATGTCACTGTGATTCTTATTTATTGTTTGTTTAAGCTCATGATTTGTTGATTTATATGTATGTATACACAAGTTTGAGTCCTATTATTCTTTCAGAAAATTTATGGAGCTTGATACAGCCAACCAGCTCAGAGTTGGTGGAAGATGATGTTTTAGCCAACATCAGTATCTCTTTCCCAAGTGCTGAAACAAATTACCAGAAAAATGAAACAAATCTAAGCACATTCAGTATAAAAAGGAATGCAGCAGTCATGTAGTTGGCAATCATAATTGACACAGCAGATCAAATAAATATGGATGGTTCACCAGCAGGGGGGGTTACTTCAAGGAAACATGAAGATGACAGCACCACCATGTTCATCTTGCAACATAAGTCAACAGCTTACAGTAGTATCGCAAGCACAAGGATGAAATATGGGAATATCATTTCAAGAAATGCTGAATGATTTCTCAGCGTTACTTGATCTAAACCGAAACTGGAAAACTTGTGTACAAGAGTTTTATGCCCTGAATACATGAAGACACCAAACTAGGATCCATACTTCTGTCATCAGCAGCATTTTGAAAAGTATCAATGACATGGCAACTTTCTTGAACCTTTGAAAACAGCATCATCCTTTGCATATATTGGTTCAAAATCGTGGTGTTGAAGATCAAATTGGATGGTTCCATCTTTCTCGGTGTGAAACAGCACCATGCACAGCAGCCAATCATGTTTTAGGTATGATCATGGATGAACTGATGTACCCAGAATCTATCAGGCGTTGTAGCATAACTTGGCTTCTGGTTCATCCTAGTAGATCTTGATTTCCAGAACAACTGATGAGTTTAAAGCCATCATGGTACAATTGATAGAAACTCGACGGACAGTCTATCAACAAGCGGAGCATTCATATTCAAGTCATGCAGCATATGGTCATAAAGACCCTTGAATTTTAGCTGAAGTGAACCATCAAACCGTCTTGAACATCTAAGATAATATAACCTGGAATTTTAGATTTGTTCAGAATGATGTCTGCTAACGTGCAGCTCTAGATGAAGAGTCCAACACCTGCTTGGTCCAAAAACAGTTTGGCCAACTGCAAATAGGTGCATACAAGTTGATCAGAGCCAATAACTTCACATTATAATGTAACAGTAGTAAATAATCTAAATTCATTGATAGCTACCTGATTAATCAGAGGTATAAACTTATCATCCCCCAGTATGAACACAAGATTAAGCAGAAATAAGAGAACATAGGAATTCTGAAATTACAGTTTGGAAAAACAAATGACATAAAGTACCATCTTTCACAGGGAAAAGACTGTAAATGAGCATGCAGAACATGAATATAGATATTGTGTTCTAAATTTGCAGAAGTACACAACACCATGAAACTCAGACTCAACCAAAAACCAGGAGAAAAGTGTGTTTGTAGGTAAATGAATGTAGGGAGAAGACTGACAAAACAGTTCCCTCTGTAAAAACATGCAAGGTACTTACATAGAGGTGACAATATTCGAAAATGGAGGTCACAGGAAGTTTGTTAACAGGACTTCCAATCAACATAAAATTGATATCTATATCTGCTGCATGTAAGGATGACAACATTGGCCTCTAACTTCAAGAAATAATGCTTCGATTGCCATCACAACAATTCTTTAATAACTCAAAGATTAGCAGGTGAGGTTTCAACATTATGTCTCTCTGCTTTTCATGGATTTAGGCAATTACTACTTGCTGAGCTGCCGACATGATATGACATATCGTATGCTTGAAGCTTCATTCTGTTTGATCTGGTATAATCCAATACCTTCATGCGCTCCTGCAGATCAGCATCGGTCACTAACATCACCTGCTCTTCCTTGTCATCCCTATACTTTAGCTATAATTTCCCAATTGGCAATCGGCATCCCTTTCCTAGTTGCTCAAACAAGTCGTTGAAGCCTGTCATCTTTGTAACTAGCCTTTACTGTTAGTGCAGTAACAAAAATGTGTTCTTTTGATATTTTGACAATATGCCAACCTGAGATGCTGGCAGTAGAAGAATCCGTAATGCTGGAATAAGGGTGACTGTATTCTATAATTCCATCATCAGCCTCTACTTCTAGATTCATTTTGACTTGTCGTCATGGCTGCATTCTGTGACATGAGCATTTTTTCATCTCTTTCATGTTTAAGCAAGACAGGGGGGATTAACTGACTTGTTGCCGCCATTTGGTGCCTGCCAAGGGAAGAAAAATGTGGTTCCACAGTTCCACTTTCCATGCAGATTGTCAAGGTTCAATGTCAGTGGAAGAAGACAATGGCACAAGATTCTTGTGTATTGGCTCTGAGGTCATAAATGCCTGCTTCCTGGGTGAGGATACTGCCACAATAAGACAATAGCAGGATCTTACTTCACTCCTTCCTAACCTTGCATATCTTCTGTAATGAATGATTGACCTTAAATATCTTGCGAGAAAGCCATCTTGAAATCCCATGCTGTCTGGATCTCCTTTTCAGTGTTGTGGGACAAACTGGCGCAATTATAATAAGAGAAGAAAACAATCTTTTACTTGAGCATCAAAACTAAAATTTTCTAGTTGTGCCAGGAAGAAAACCAACTCTGCATATAGACCCTCTTAATATGAGATTAGCATATATAACCAACCAAAACTTGAAACCTGGCATACAAGTCATTGTAGTTAGTCTCTATTGGTTATTGTAATTTATATAAACACCTTTTAAAAACTTTCATACATGTCAGTGTTGATGCACAAAACTAGTTTGAAGAGAACATCTGATTTGGGTAGGTGTGACCTGCATGGAGGAAGAAACACTCAAGACAGTCACAAAACCAGGGTCTCAGAAGCGTCATCCACATTGTTGCTGGAAGGGGCAAATCTCTACCAAAGCTGTGGCATAGGGTGATATCAAAACTGCTGTTTCCTGAAGACCTAAAACATTGTCTTCTTTTGTGGCCATTGATTAAACATAAACCAATCATAAATGGATATCTTTAACCTTCTTCATTGTGCCCTCATTTTCTTCAAAAAAATTGTACATCAGAGACTGTAAAGCTTCATGTATCTAGGTGCAAGCTCTGAAGCCCACAACCCACAGATGCAGCCATGGCAATGACTCAGCAGCACACTCAACCTCATTTCCATAAGCCAGCAACACAGTGCAAGCAACCATGCCGCAAGACAATGGTGAAAACTTTGTTGATTGGACACTCTTCTTTCTCATAATATCAACAAATGATGCCCTCATGGCCAAAAAGCTTGATCTCTCAGTTAATGCTGTCAGAGAGTGGGTAATGGCGAAAGTTTTCTTAGCTGATGCTGTGAACTTTGAGGTGGACGCCTTGGCTCCAGTGTCTGCGAGCCCATGTGTGAGTAAATTTGTTGAGCCAAGGAGCTTACCAAGTCCGATAGTAGCTGCCTTTTGCAGCTGAGCTAAGCCAAACTTTAAAGTAGCAGGAATCTTATATGTTGCAAGCTTGATAAATGTAGATGCACAAACAACATTTGATGGTGATGATGCACCAAGAACTGCTGTGACTCCTGGACCAACAGCTATGGTAGACATATCTGCTAAAAGACTTTTTCTTTCATGTTCACCAACACCTCTTCATCATTTGCATCATCATCATAATATAACTCTACGAAACATGGATTGATTAACTCTGCAATCTCGAGAGGCACAGATGCGTTCCAATGCCTCCTGAGACCAGCCAAAATTTGCTTCAACTACAGCCACCACAGATCCGAACTTTTTAGTTCGGCTCCTTAGAGCTTGCACAAAAGCTCCGAATTTGTCGAGTTCCTTTTCTCGATTCTTTCCATAGGACAGCATGCAGCATTGTTTACACTGGCTCTCCGTCATTGATATCAGCAAGCACTTCCTGTACAGAAACCATAGTTTCTCTAAAAGACGGAAGGCCAATGAATAGGTCATGTAGATCTGCCAATAAAGAGTAGAAAAGATTTTGCAAAATGGGGCAATTTGTAATTAAAATCTGTGATCTTTTCCAGATTCCCCTCAAATCAGTCAGATTGACCTTCTTATAAGACCATTAGCTCAAGAAGTGGAATCACTGACTCAGTCTCAATCATCTACGACTGAAGTGCATCATCAAGGCAGTAATTTAGAACTTGAGTAGATGGCTGAAGTAACTCAATCATCTATGACTGGATCACTGCCTCACAACAAGAAATTACGCCACGAAACAGGAAATTAAAAGAAGATAAGGGCATCACCAAGAATAAAAAAGAATTGATCCGACTCCAAAGAACAGAAATCATACCGATTAAGCATCAGAAATCGATCGCTGGTCGGGGAACTTCGCGAGAGAGGTCGAATCGATCGGCAAAGAGGATCTTGATCGGACGCAATCGACGCCGTAGGAGCTACAGCGAAGGCTTTTCGATGCTTCGCGATGGCACCTTTCGAGGAGTAAGACCAGATATGAATGGGTCGGGTCGGCAACCCATCATGCCCGATCCGGGAAATGTAGCATCGGAGACAACCCGATTTTACTCCTACCCTGCTTTTACCCGTAATTTAATTGGAAAAGAACAGGTGGGGTTTAAAAGTAGAGCCAGCTTCCCTGGAGGAGATCCAGGGTAAGGTTCATGAGAGTGAGTTAATTTTTTGTTTGGTTTCATAGAACAGAGAAGAACCGGTAACCCGATCCGGGATGTAAAGCGTCCGATCCGACCCGATTATTGTGTTACCGAACACCGGTACTCTGATTGGCTCCGAAAAGGTGGGCTCCGTTGGTGGAGCCCGCTTACCTGTGGGTAAGGCTGGGGGACACTGGCACAAGGGTGAGTCAATTTTTTTATGTGGCCTTATATAAATAGGAAGAAGCTCCCAGTTCTTCCCCACATCGTCGCCTTCGCCTCTCCCGCTTTCCGGTTATTCTCCTCTCCTTTCTCTTCGTGGCGTCCTTGGAATCTGGATCTTAAGAACCCTACTGTTCTCTGGATCCCATCAAGAAGTACTCCATTCTCGTGATCGCGGCCGGATCTGAGGGCTGTGCGGGTTAGATCCCTCTTCCGATTGGGCTCGATCGGATCAGATCTGGTCTCGGGCCCTTTGGTTCTGGAAGGAATGCAATTGAAGCTGCGCTAGGTGGATCTGGATCTGGAATCTCGGTCAGTTCTCGGTTCCTTGTCTCAATTCTGCA